GGAAACTGAGAAATAGCAGTATAGGGGTGGTGAAAAAAGTTTTCAAGCACAGTCAGAGTTCCCAGAGCTGTTAAGAACTGATGAACCTGAGGTGGCAGGGCAGGCTGGAACATGCCTGGGATTGTAAGAAAGTGAGGCAGGTCAGGAGGAAGTTCAGGTCTGAAGGGAGACAGACACTGAGCTAGAGGCAGCTCTCTGCCTTATTGCTGCACCAGGGCTGAGTGCAGCCTTCTGACTCTTTGAAGTTGGGGTGTTTGTAACATTAGAAAAAGTGAAGTAACTTCTGTGAAATCATCAGCACCTTTAGTGTTGGCTTTGCGTGAGGGGGAAAATAGCCTTGACAGTCTACTGTGACGGTGGCAGTTTGTTACTGTCACCAAAATATGTACTGCCTACTTTGCATTTGGGTTAGACACACAGTCTGTATAGACGATATCTTCCTGAGTGGTCATTAGTGAATACTGAATAAACAACTGCAGTGTTGGAGTCACACAAGAAATTATTCGGAATAATACTCTGTAGGATGCTTGGTCACTTCACAGTTTGGTTTTGGATTATTCTTTTCGAGCTGGAGGGTTCAAGTCCTAGTGTATGTATGTATGAGACTGTGCCAGCAACCTCTTTTCATTGTACAAAGGAACTGTTTTTTCATGCATTCTGTTGCCCTTTTTTGTTTGTTTGTTTCTTAATGTGACATTAAACCATCAGGAAACCCTTCTCCTTATTCCATAAAAGGTTAGTTTGAGATGTAAGTGAGAAAATGTTTTGGAAGGTTGGAGATTCCTGTTAAACTCATGTCTTCTATGTCAGCTGTAGTATTTCTGGAAAAAATATATCCTCATACTTTATGTGGGCTTTAAAAGTGCCTAGAATGTGAAGATTCTTGAGCACAGTAGGTAAGGTCACAACATCTGAGTCCTGGCCTTCTTATAAATATTTATTGGAATATATTTGTCTCCTACAACATCTACAGTTTCACTAGTACACCACTGTTGTCTTTTAAAAGGTAATATAAATAATATCAGTTCCTAAAGTAATGTTTTTGACTCTGAATAATGTTTTCTGACATAATAACTAATGATCTTGTGCATTTGCCTTTTTATTTTTTTATTTTTTTTTCCTTCATAGGAAGCAGATCTGGAAAAAAGGCTTCATGAGTTGGATCTTAGAAGTGATTTAGATGTTCCCGATATTCCTCCACCAACAGACAGGACTCCAGAAATCCTCAAAAGGGCTTTGTCAGGCTTGTCTGCGAGGTATAGTAAAACCAACAACTCTCAAATTTAATAGCTGCTGGCTAAAATTCTTACAGATTATGTTGTAGTTTTAAATTTTACAGATTGTTCTGCAGTTTTAAATTTCATATGATGCACATGTAAATTCAAGGATAAATTTTTACTGGGTAACAGTGATTTATTTGTGCTTTGGTAGTTCCTTCAGTGTAGTATTTTTTGTATACACCAGACGATTGTTCACTGTGTGCATTTCTAAGTACACTTCTGCAACGTTTAGCTAGAGTTTGCATAAACGTTTGCCAGTACTCAGTCTGAGCATTGCAATAAAGCGGGTTAAAGAATAATATTTGGTTTTGATATCCAGAGTAACTAATTCTGGGGTTATAGTAAACTGATTTCCTATATTCTAGGTTAAGGAGGGTTGTATTTGTGTATGAATGAAAAGGAAAGAAGTGTAAATTCTCTGGGTGAGCTTTGCTAGCTTTTTCTGACAGCATTTCCACTTCTAAATACTTTTCTTTGTAGTTAAATACAACATAGCTTTTCATACCTTTTGAAGCAATATTTAATTTTTTTCCTGCCATCTCTTTTCAAACCTAGCTTTCTGCCTCCAAATCCTGTTCAAAGGAGCTTAAGGGCTAGCAAATGCAGGGGGAGGTGTATGTGCATAGTTAGGCAGATAATCTTCACAGAGGAATAATAAAGTTCTCAGTATAATTTTTTTATGCAGTCCCTTTTACAGCATTTGATCATTCAAACCCTTTGGAGGTGGCAATTCACATTACGTTTTTTCACTAATGCAGTGAAAGAGCATGGGTGTGTGAAAGATCACATACTAAAAACCTTCCTAGTAAATGTGTACATTGTATATATCTTCTGCTCAATGTAAGAAACCAAACAATATTGAATGTATATTTTAGATGCGCTTTAGGTATTGCAAGAGTCAGAAGAAGGTCCTCTAACCCAGACTATGATTAAAAACTTCCAAGTCTTTACACAAGAACTGATCTCCAGTAGATATCTCCAATAGCAATGTGAAACTACTTTTTTTTTTTTTCCATTTGCACCCTTTCTACTCTGTTGTCTGTGTTGTGATATCTGAGAGCTGTAAACAAATTTATTGTTCCCAGGTTCTCTACTGCCATCACAATGCAAGGAGTATCTAGTTCCTGTCACTTTCAGACTTCACTTGCCGTGTTAAATGTTATGGAAGTCTTAGGTCTCCAAAGGGCACTTGCATGGTTGTACCTTAAAGCCTGCAACTAAGAGGTGCAGGCAAAACCTTTCCTGTTTCACATGCTTAAAATTCTTTATTGGAGTGTTTGCACAAGGGTTCACAAAGGTTCTTTGAGTGCAAAATCAAATTCTTGGTGCTTCATGAATGCTAGATTCAAAATTACAAGCTAATTTAGTAACTGGCAGTCCCACCAGAGCTGTTGGCATAATGTGCAACATGAGCAAGTTGCAAAGTAGCTCTCAGAAATATTGGCCTTTAGAGGAATCTGCAACTTCCCAATGGAGAGTTAGGACACAAGTTGTCAGGTGGCTTCCTACGTTGTGGAGCTTGTCTTACTGAAGCTGTCTTTCCAGTGCTGCACTTGTCAACATCTTCAAGATACTATATGATAGTTTAACATTATTCTTAAGGGAAGTTGAATTCTTTTAAAGGACCCTTGCTCACTATAGATATGCCACTAGGACCTAGCTGCTACTCTATATCCCATGTCCTAGAGGCACATAAAACCCATTGTACCTTTCTTCTGATACTTAAGACAAAACCAATTAGTGGTTTTAGTTCCAACTAACCTGCCAGTGAATAACCTTGAAAATCAAATTAATATAGTTGAAGTTTACATTAAAACTGAAGTACGATGCAAAACTGAGAGTGTCCCATGAATTACCTGATGCAGCAGTGAAACACAAGACTGATACAAAGCAAAATATCAGAAAGAATTTCTTTAAGTGGTAGTAGGGGTTTTTGTATTTAGCATAACTTGTGATTAGATGATGCAGTGTGATTTTTAGAGTCAAAATTCTTGAAGGGGAAAACAGGCAAAAGAGGAGAAAAACTCTACGGAAAAAGGAATATGAACAATAAAATACATACTATTGGTGACTAGAAAAATTTTCACGGCAGAGTGAAGCACGTGGTGAGGGTTTGTTTGGGGTTTTATTACTATTATTATTATTATTGTTTATTATTTAACTGGGTTCTTGATTTTTTTTCTTGTACAAGCCTTTGGAGACAGCGGGGTAGAGCTGTGGTGGTGTGGGAAATAACGTTTTGGTCACTCTAGAAATTACACTTAAAAACTCCAACATCATCATCAAAGACTTCCCAGTTTTTTGTTTTATTTTTAGAAGAACCCCTTACTTTTGCAAAGAAGAATTCTGCACCTCAAATACTGTGTTCAGTTTTGGGCTTCTCACTAGAAAAAAGACAGTGAGGTGCTGGAGTCTCTCCAAAGAACAGTGAAGCTGGTGAAGACTGGCTGGAAAGCTGTCGGTGAAAAAGGACCTTGGGGTATTGGTTGACAGCCAGCTGAATATGGGCCAGTTGTATGCCCGGGTGGCCAAGAAGGCCAAGAGCATCCTGTTCTGTATCAGAACTAGTGTGGCCAGGACTTGGGTAGTGATCGTCCTCCTGTTCTCAGGAATGGTGAGGCCACAGTTTTGACCTTCACTGTAAGAAAGATATTGAGGTGCTGGAGCCTGTCCAAAGAAAAGCAATGAAGCTGGTGAAGGGTCTGGAGCACAAGTCCTATGAGAAATGGCTGAGGAACTGGGGTTGTCCAGCCTGGAGAAAAGGAGGCTCAGGGGAGACCTTATCACTCTTTATAACTACCTGAAAGGTGGTTGTACTGAGGCGGGTGTTGGTCTTTTCTCCCAAGTAACAAGCAATAGGAAAAGAGGAAATGGCCTCAAGCTATGTCAGGGGAGGTTTAGATTGGATATTAGGAAAACTGACTTCTCAGAAAGCATTGTTAAGCACAGGAACAAACTGCCCAGGGAAGCGGCTGAGTCGCCATCCCTGGAGGTATGTAAAAGACGTAGCTGTGACATTTAGGGACGTGGTTTAGTGGTGGACCTGGCAGTGCTGGGTTAATGGTTGTACTTGAGTTTAAAGGTCTTTTCCAACCTAAATGATTTTGTGATTTTATGGTAACAGGAATTTCTATTCTGCTTTCCTTAGGTAGCCACTTGCAGCTGCAAAGGTTTATGAGGGCAAAAAAGTACAGCTAGTTTGATCCATCACCCCTTATTGTCACATGTTTTTCTGTGCTGGCTGCAGCACTCACAAGAGCACAAGACTGCTTTCAAAAGATAACCCTCTACCTGGCAAAATAGCTGCTTTGCTGCTGTGGAAAGTTGGTGATCGTCTGTTTGGTTGGTTTTTGTTGGATATTTTTTTGGCTGTTACTCTCAGAATTGTGTCCTTTTTACCTGCAGCCTTTCTTTCATATGTAAGCCTTTATATGGCTGGGCCCCTAGCAATCTTGTTGATTATGTGTTGGTTTTTTTTTTTGAGGCTCATGATGTATTTTCATAACAGCTTCTGTATGGGGTTGATCCATTTAATTGCAAATTACATTTGGTGAGGAAGCATGGAGGAAGAAACTTTGATTTCTTTTACTGTGTATCCTGGTTAGTTGGATAGTTGGTTCTGTGTTTCATTAAACATGAACATTTCTGGAACTCCCCCTGTTTCTAATACACTTTAATCTTTAGTGAGTAAAGGAAGTGGCATTTTCTTTCATTTATAACTGCTTGGTTTTTATTATCTTTTTTTTAATAGATGGAAAAATTGGTGGATTCGTGGAATTCTCAGTCTAGCTATGATTTCTGGTTTTTTTCTGGTCATATACCTGGGATCATTTATGCTGATGCTTCTGGTAAGTTTGATTAAATACATTCTACCATACAAGTCACTTATTCGTCATGCCTAACAGAACTGGAAGCAAGCCACACAGGTAATTCAGAGCATTTGTCTCTTACTTGTGTAAATGTAAATACCTTTTAAAAACACTGGACAGATTCACAACTGGGTGTTGTCGATAAAGCATTTCTTATATACTGTAATTAATTTGGGTTTTTAAATTAGGAATTAAAGTAACTTTAACAAGTTGAATGATTGTTGCCTTGAAGCTTACCAAACTACTGTAATCCATTTCCTTGTGCAGTTCACATCACCTACTGTTACATTCTTTGAGGTTTGTTTTAAGAAAATGATCCTCCCAAAAAAAACAAGCAAAAAATCCAAACCAAACCAAAAATCAAAACAAAAGTTTGGTTTCTGAAACTGAGGAAAGGAGGCAACTCTGGTCTGCTGTCTGTGACCAGCATTGAATGCCTTTGCTCAGGCATGCTATGTTAATTCCCTACTTCTTTATGGGGCTGCCTTGTGGCCTTTGGTTTGTCCGTAGAAAGGAGCTAGATCCCTTCCCAAGGTACACAGATAAAGTGAATTTTTAGGTGATGAAGTGAAATAGACCCATGCATATCCGGTCAGCATTTACTAATTCTTTCTATCATTGCTGGTATTTTTATTGAATAATGCCTTAACTGTTTTTGCCAGTCATGGCAAGTAAGAGGCAGAGATGTGGCTTCTAAAACACTGAAATTGGTACTTGTGGGTAATAAATTTGATTTTTGAGTCTGTTTGTTTAACTGTCAAAATGTGCTTTTGCTTTTTTCATGGCCTCTTGTGAAACACCTTTCGGATTGTATGCATAGAATTATTTCCATCAAGGTTGGAAAAGACTTTTAAGATCATCAAATCCAACCCAGCACTGCCAGATTCACCACTAAACCATGTCCCTAAACGCCATAGCTACACATCTAAATACCTTCAGGGATGGTGACTCAGCCACTTCCCTGGGCAGAGTATTCCAACGCTTGACAATCCTTTCTGAGAGGAAATTTTTCCTAATATCCAATCTAAACCTCCCCTGGCATAGCTTGAGGCCATTTCCTCTTATTCTATTGCTTGTTACTTGGGAGAAAAGACCTAAATTCACCTTGCTGCAACCTCCTTCCAGGCAGTTGTAGAGAGTGATAAGGTCCCAGGTGAATGATGATAACAAGCTAGTAATTTATTGTTTTATTGGTGGAGGATTTTCTTTATTGTGTGTGAAGAAACAACAATAAAAAAAAGCCCCTTTAAAGTGTAGGTGATTGTAGGGAGGTGTTTGGGTTTTTTTTGGTTGGTTTTTTTTTTTTTTTCACAATCCTTTCATAGTCTGTTACACTTCAGAATGATGATCACTAACAAAAGGGAACTAATCAATTTGCAGTGTAATTCATTATATTAGTGGTGTACTCTGAGATTGCAATCATGGGCAAAGTTACCAAGAGATGAACCAAAAAGTAATTGAAGTTACTACAGAATTGGAATAGAGTTCTTCCTTTGTCGTAACACAAAGCAAAAACTGTCTTCTAATATCGTAAACTGTTCATAAAATTGACATTTGATACTACATCTCAAAGAATGGAGGAGGGAAAAAATAGTTTTGTTAATGTATTATTTCATTTCATTGGAATCAAATAGTTTGAATTTAAACAAAAGTTTATCCAAGTACTGAGACTGCAAATGCCCAGAAATTTCTCGGAAGGGTAATCCAGTGAAGTTTGGAGGACAAGCCCTGAGACTGCTCTAAAAAGTTGAGTCATATTTTATGTTTGCCTGCTGCTAAGGTAACATGCACAAGCTTCCATACATTTGGACCCAAGTGTCCTTTTCCCCTGTAAGGTGCAGTCCTTTAAATGTTGCTCTCATGTATAGCATTGAGGTTTTGTAATATAGGCTAAGCTGGAGAAAGTGCATAGAATAGGGGAGCTTCAAAATTAACTCACTGAGGTGGTGTAAAGCTGTTTTAAACTGTGTTCACATGTTGAGCAAGATGAAATTTATTCATGAATGCAGGTGGTAAGAGAATACTGCAAAGCCTACCATGCTGACGTGCTGTCAGTGTGGGTAGGTTCTTACTTCTGCCTGTGCAGGGGATTACTGACGACCTGTGTTTGGCAATACTTGATCTCTGGGAAGGGCAATCTGCTTGGCGTCTGTGGATGAGGCAAAACTGGCAGAGAGTCCTTTGGACACCAAAGACCGACAGAACCTACTACCAGACTTGCCTGGGCAAGCACTGAAGTACCGATATCAGCAAAACAAAATTAAGGCCATTGAGGGTGTGACATTAAGACTTGGATTAGATGAGCTTTGTTTCTAATCAGCAATGCTAATTGCCCTTAATGAGACGTTTGCAACTGGAAGACCTGGGTGTCAAAGTTGTGTTGTACAGCTAGTTTTTTTCCACTGGGACTAGAAAATATTTCTTGAACTAAATTTAAAGATAAAACCTAGCCAAAAGAAATAGAAGAGCTGCCTTTACCACAAGTACGTTTGACCTGCTGCTGCCAAACTGTTTTAATGAAGAAAAGTCAGGAGTTTTCCTTTGTTTAATGAAGAGTATTCTTGCAGCTAGCCCAACGTTTTTTTTTTCTCAGCATGCCTAGGGCTTTTGAAGTTGGTTTTTTTTTTTTTTTTTTTTTGGGTGGGAGGGGGTGGTGTTTAAAATGGAGCTTTAGTCTTTGTTGGACTTGTTTTGAAGCTGTCTGTTTTCTGTGTGGAATTTGAATTCAGAATAGTATATCTCCTTAATGCAGGTTGCAGTACTGCTTTGATGCCTTTGAGAACTAACTGCAGCATATCTACATGGGGTTTTTTTTTATTTCTCTTTTTTTAGGTCTTAAGCATCCAAGTGAAATGTTACCATGAAATCATTACTATAGGTTACAGAGTCTACCACTCATATGATTTACCGTGGTTTAGATCCCTCAGCTGGTGAGTAGCAAGCAAGAACATCAATAACCAAGGATGTAACACTTAAATCTTTGTGTTCTGTCATGGTGGAATAATAGTTTTGCAGGTCATGTGCTGTCATAGAACTTGACATCTATCTCTAATACAGGATTCTGTAGTTGTCTTCCACCTGTGAACTTGAACAAGACAGTTGGCCTTTTACTACTTTACTTTTTTTCCTTGTTATAAATATGTATATATGTACATGTATATGTATGCATGCATATATGCTTGAAGCCAGAACTGAGCATGTATAAGCTATCTAAAAATACACATAGGCAACTAATCACCTGATATGTATTAGCTGAACTGCTTTAGTTTTGGTTTTGTTCGTTTATTTTTTTGCCTTTTGACATTGCATAAGAAGTAACCAGAACAGGTACCTTAAAGGCTCTCTTTACACACACAGAGAATTAAAATAATAACATACAAGTTTTAAATCCTTTCCAATTGTGCACTTATGGGAAGGTGTTGGACACATGTAGTCTCTAAGATGATTAAGGTTATAATTCTTTAGACATGACCTATGTTGTGTTGGTTTAGTTTTGCGTTGGGTTTGGTGTTTTTTTTAAGGAATTGAAATGTCTAGGTTATTCTCTGTCTCTTGTCACATTGCTCCTTGAATTCTAGAAGCAACTTTACTGTATAATGTGGTGGATTCCAGCTGTTGACTCTTCTGTAAATACTAATCTGTTCCCCCTCCGGTCACTGCTGGATTATCCAGGGGACTGATCTATTGTCTGCTTTATTCCATGGCTTCTGGAATTACAGCTAGAGCAGACTCATACGTGAATGATTCTGTGGTCTTGCCAAAATTTTTAGAAAAGGAGATTGCACTTTACCACTTAGTCTACTTTGGCAGTTTACCACCATCACTTTAGTACGTGGAGCTCAAAATCAACTCCTTTGTATTGTCACACTAGTTAATGTCAAAGCTTCTTTCAATCCAACATCTTGCCATGATACTAAATATTAAAATATTTCAGTGAGATTGACGAATCCTGTTAGTAATCTGAACCTCGACTGTTTGGTTTATTTAGAGATGTGAAGCCTTGCAAAGTGAGTGTCAGCCTCAACTGGGGGGAAGAGAATGCGTGCTGATCGCTCTCAAGCATCCAGAGATCCAGTCTTGAATCCTAAGTTTTGTATCTTCTGTGACTGACAGAAGATAAAAGCTAAAGAGTGTGTTGCCTTGAGAAGTGCATCTCTTAGTGGTTTTGGATTTACTGTTTATTGGTTTTTACTGAGCGCTGCCTTCACATTTGAGGATCCCAAATTAACTCTAGAAAGCTGAGTAACTGAACTCATGAAAATGCGTGACAGAATTAATTGCGTACTGACTGTTTTGACTGGAAGGGGAAGATCCTTCAAAAAGAGATGGCTGAAGGTGACATTTCACCTTAGTTGAACTTTTGGTGTGGACATACTCTCACAAAATTGTTTTGAAAAATTTGCAGAAATAACTGCATTTACTGGTTAGTTGATGGATTTAAACCTGTAAGGTTATTTGTCAGTCGAGAAAGCTAAAAGGCAAAGCGTGGGGTGGAGTGGAGCAGGAGATGCAGCAGTAACTTTCAGATGAGAATCTTCAGGCCAGATAGCCAAAGTATAGTTATATTCAGGTCCTCAAGCCCTATGTCAGATTCACTGTCCTATAACCTCAGAGGAGTCATTATGCAAGTACCTTTTTTCCTGTTTGTAAGTCAGAAATCAGGAACTGCCCTTATTAGGATACAGGAAAAGAATATGCAGAATTGCTTGTATCAGTACTGATGATAGCCAATACTTGTTCTGTACTTACAGAATACCTGAAAAGGACTTGTGTAGGTGTGGAGTATTCAGCACTAGTTAAGGATTAAACGAATTTTCCAACTGTATCCTTCAAAATGTTTGTTTTTCTAGTGTGGTTGCTTTAGAAGAAGTAAATGATGAAAATTGCCTTGTCAGAGGAGACACTAGGAGTGTAAGACTGGGTTTACACTTGAATTTTATTTTCGCCACCTGTCTCTTATACCCTTCTGGTTTTCCTTTTGTCTGGTGCTTTATGTTGTGGTTTTTTGTTATGTTTTTAAGAATTATACTTAAATACATATTATCTTGTTAAAATAACTGCTAGCTGTTATGTTTTGTAGGTACTTTTTGCTGTGTGTGAACTACTTCTTTTATGGAGAGACTGTAGCTGATTACTTTGCTACGTTTGTTCAGAGAAGAGAACAGCTTCAATTCCTAATTCGCTACCACAGGTTTATATCTTTTGCACTCTATTTAACAGGTAAGTGTAGGAAATTGCAAAGAGGAAAGAACATTGTACTGCGTTTGTTTCTGTACATACTTCTTAAAAACAAATAAATAAAAAAAAGTTGCTCTCCAGCTTTATACTCTTTCAGTTTCTTTTTCCACTCGATGTTGAGGAAATGTTTGCAGTTTCATTTTTCCTGTGAAAAGATGAATATAAATTTTGCATTCACTGAGAAGGAGAAAGTAGCTTAAACAAGTAGATGATCTTGAAGGAGTTGAGCTAATAGTGCTCAAGAGAAGTTGGCGTGAAGTAATTTTGATCTCTGAAGAACTGCAGCTCAGTACCTGAATATGTGAATGTTATTTTGGCAGTCTGTGGAGATGACCTGTGTATGTAATTGCTGTGCTGGGTTGATGTTTTATTGTGCAAGTGTTCTGCTAGGTCTACAGCAATAAGATTTACTAATATATTTTAAACTGATTATTCAAAATGCCTCAGGCTTTATTTTCTCTGCAAGATATTCAGATGCTTGACTCGTGAATAGATTTTCCTCCCTATCCAAAGAAAGACTTTTTAAAAGCCTTTTCTGTAGGAAGAAGAGACAAGCTGACATTCTTGTAGGGTGTTGCTTTCTGAATGTGTAAATACAGTCCACAGTGTTTTCAGCAATGCAGTTAATATTACTTTAGCCTAAAACTAAATCAATTGAAGGCTCAGATTAGCCTAAGGGTCCAGAGATTGCTATGCTATGCATTGCTATGCTATGCTATTACAATTAAGAAATATGATCTTCATGATGAACTGTCAGTCTGTCAACTGTTAATTTTATTTTTAAAACCAGATAAGAATTCTGCTAGGTGCTTAGATTGCAAACTTGAAACTAGCTTTGCAAGACGTGACCTTTTTCAGCTGGCTTTGGCTTGAGGAAACTAACTTAACTAATGCTTTGTGACCGCTGAAGGGCAGTGAAGGGAGCAATGAGACAACCTAGTCATAAGCAAAAGCAGGAGGCAGAGTCCCTTGGCGGCTGTCATATTGGGATCATGGGGTCACTGCAGGGCTGTCTTCAGGGCTAAGGCTCTTTGAGTGTGTCTGACCCTGCTAGTGCAGGAAGTTGCCCTATGGAAGAAGACATGCTCTGTTAGCCACCCAGAACATTTCTTTCAGTCTGTTGAATTCTCCAATGCCTGTACTTCACGCTTGTGTTGCATGCAGCCATGTGCCTGTCTCGGAGAAAGGGGCAAGCTGGTCTTTTCCTTTCTGTTATTTCTGTTATTTATTCAAAACCAGCTTGCTGACCTGGTTTTTGAGTGGTTTTTAAAAGGTGATGGTCTCCCCTAAAGGTTGATGCCTATGACGAGAACTTATAAGTAAGGAAATGGATGCTCTTTACTGATGTTGACTGAATTTTGTGCTTTAGTAAGAGTAATTCTGTACGTACACTTAACTGAATACAAGCAAATGCTTCCAGCCACAGAGGGATTAAAAGTTGCTTCAAGGGAAGAGAATTACTGATGTATCACAGTTCAGTATAATTAAATATAAGCTGGTACAAACTACACTTGCTTTGTTTTACAGGCTTCTGCATGTTTGTTTTGAGTTTAGTGAAGAAACATTATCGTCTGCAATTTTACATGGTGTGTATTACCCACTTTGCTGTGGTCACTAATGTTATGAATGTCGCTAGGAACAGTCATGTCCCTATGGTCATAAAATAGCTTGGAAGAGGGGGGTGGAAAATTTGCTTAAACCAACAGTAACATGAAAATCAAGGCCAGGCTGGATGTGGCTTTGAGCAATCTGGCCTTGTGGAAGGTGTTCCTGCCCATGGCAGGAAGTTGATCTTAAGGTCCCTTCCAACCCAAACCATTCTGTGATTCTATGAAACCAAGTGGGTTTGGGCTGTTAGGCATCTGTTTCCCTTAGTGATAGGGTAATAGAAAAGAGATTCCTGGAGAGGGGGGTGTGCATCTCCCTCCCAGGTCTGAAGCCAAACTGTTCAGCGGGAAGTGATTCTTGTGACTCAAGTGTTACTTTGTAGAGGACCTGCTGAAGTACTCTGAAGGGAACTTGAGCTTAACCCCTATGTGGAAGATTTATTGTGTGACCCTTAACAGCAGTTCTAGTCTTCTGTTTTGCTGTGCCTCAATAGATCAATAATCTATTAAAAGAAACCAGCGTTCTCATCTCTTCTATATGTCCACCTAGTAAACAGCATAGTAGCTAATCAAGAGCATGAACCTTTTTGTTATATGTTATTTAAAGGTCCAAACTAATTTTGTAACATCAGAGGTAAAACAACCACCAAAACAAGAAAAAACCCCCACCAAACATAAACCTCACCCCAAACCAATCAAAAAAAAACCCCACCGAACAACCCTACTTCTATATAGGAATGGTTAGAAGCAATAGTAAAACAGTAATGCAGTATAGCTCCTGCCTTTAAAGAACTGAAGCAGTCAGGGCATTGTGCAACCTTAAAGATTTTCTAAAGCTCCAGGGATTAACCGTTCTGTTTCTACAGTGCTTTAAGTAGCACTTTAGCATTAAGGATACCTGATTCTAGACAAGGACTAAGCTGAGCCCGGTATGAGTATGTAAAAAAATCTTTTACTCACAAAAATTCACCCTGTTTGTGGAGAACTTGCCTGACAGGGAGATGCAGCTTTTCTAGGAGAAGTAGTCTTTATCTTCTAATCTGCAAACCCTCCCCCCTCCCCAAGTCCTCATCTTCAGATAGGCACAGGATTTTCCATGGGTTTTTTTTTCCTTTTTTGCCTTATGGAAAGAAGTCAGAAAAAAGGGGTGTCAGCCATATCACTTAGTGCCTGCCCAGAAAATATTAAGGTGTGACTATCTGAGAATTGCACTAAAACAGAGTGAAGCTGTGTATCCACTGTGTGGCAACACAGTGTTTGGAAAGATAAGGAGAGTCACCATTTGGTCTTAGGTGGTGTTCCAGTATCACTGTACAAATACTAAAAATTCCCTGTTTTAATTAACCAGCAGGGAATATCTTCAGAAACCTTTAGTCAGGTCATGCACCCCTCCTTTTCAGCCTTCTTGAGTTGTCTTAACCGGAAGTAGATGCTGGCTGCCATAGGAAGACACATGTAAGAAGAGAATCAAACTAAGACATTGAGTGTTAAATCGTCCAGACATTCAGAGTGCTTAAATTTGGCATTTCATGGAAAAACTACCAGTTCTTGATTTAAAAGTTTTGGAAAATAAAATCTATTCTGCAATTTTTACTGGTAAGCTGTTTGGAAACCACTTTATTATACACTGGTGCTATAGAAAAAACACCAAATGCATACAGTAATACTGGGGAAAATGACTGCTTAAATGACCATGCACATAAAAATTAACACTTTGGTTTTGCTAATCCTGAGAATGTTCATTTTCATAAAAGGACTGGTATTCTGTTATGAGAGATATCCACATCTGTGTACCATGACTTTTTCATTAGTAGTTCATTGCCATTTTATTGTTCTAACAAACACGTCTGTTGTATGTATATACAGAATATCACATTGCTTACATTTCTTTGCTGCTTTTATGCTGAAGATGTATGTCTTATTAAATCAGATGTTAAACTGCACGTTAAAAAAATTCTGGGTGGAGGTAAGTGATGGGGAAACCTGTTAAAGTTTCAATACTTGCTTCAGAAATCCAGCTAAACTTGTGATATACTGTATGCACAACATCTCTTGCATTATCACTAGAAATGGTCTTTTCTGTGAGCTCTTAAGCAGCTCCTTTAGCTGACACACCAGTATTTATCAAGGTGTACAGGATCAGTGTTTTCACTAACTGTTGTGTTGTTGCATTGTTAACAGTTCGCATGGACTCATGTCACTTTGCTGATCACTGTAACTCAATCTCATCTTGTCATCCAAAATCTCTTTGAAGGCATGATCTGGTAAGGGGACAGTAATAAACTGATTTGTAACTATTGCATTAAAAGGTTGGTTGTTTTACATAGATCTGGTTAAGGAATAATCATGGGAGCAGTTAAAGCAACACAAATTAAAGGAGTATTAATGTCTAGTTGGAAGGGGAGTCAGAGGAATTGGGAACAATGAGGTAAAAGATACAGGAGAAGAAACAGAAACCACTTTAACTAGCTTGGCAGCCATGAGTATGATAGTTTTGAACAACCACTTCATATTCTTGCAAGGAATAGGATTGCCTGCATGCTTGGTGAAATAGTTTCCATAGCATTTTGCTGAATGGATGAATATCCAACAATTCTTTTTCAATTACTCAGGAACTTCAGGTTGTTCAGAGCTATTGAAGTTGGACCATTTAATTTGAAATCTCCAATCTGGCCACCTTCCCTGTTCAGATCAATTCAGATTACTTAAAATATTTTAAGAGTTTAAATCTTGGATATTGTTGGGTCATCTTCCTGCCCCATTTCCAGCAATATATTAAATTCTGATGATTCAATTAAACTTAAAACCACTTCTCAAAGACAATGTGTGTTTTCCAACCCCACACTTCTTTAAGGACAGTGGAAACTGCAAGTTGAGAAAGAAGGAAGAGGCACATATGGAAGATGATTTGTGTTCTTCCAAGGACATAATACTGCATGTTCTCCTTTTTCTTTTCCTGATATATGTACAACTGGGGGGATTATCGCAGAAAAGATGTGCTCATAGTTAGAAAGAAAACCCAAAGGCTTTGACAGAGTTTGTATAAACAAATTCTTTTCATAATAATCATGTTCATGTGCCAAAACCTGAACCTAGTTGTCTTGCCAACCTACTGTTTCATATTTCCACTGGTGCTAAGCAGTTTGGCATATGGTCACAAAATCTGACTTTCGGCTTATTAATACATCCCTACTTTGAAAAGGGGAAGAAAGGGGATAACAGGCTTGAGTAACAAATTCAGATGCAGCCTGCATGCAAAGAATGCTTAGAAAACTAACACAGGCTGCTCCAAACTGACAAGAGGAGGAAAAAGAAACTTCCTTTTTTCTTTTTTTTTTTTTTTTTTTTTAATTTAGATGCCCTTCAACTTTACAAGGAATTTGCTTGCCTTGATGTTACCAAAAACATTAACATGTTTATATCTCTTGATTTCTTCTTAACTGTTGTACCAGTTAAGCCTTGCAAGAAAAAGCCAGTCTTTTCACATATTAAGCTCATGCACCAAAATCATAGTTTAGCTTGAACTAACATGGACCTGTAATGGTCTTGATTGGCTGAAGACTAAAACCAGTATAGCTAAATATGCTGCTTGGGGGGGAACTAGGTGAGCACATTATGAAACACAATTCCTTCTAAATACTACAGAAAAATTTCCCAGAAAGAAATGTTGCTGTTTCAGTTTGTCCTGTGTTTAGGTTTGGGCAGGTTTTCTTTTTCTTTATGAAACTTCTCATGTCTTTCTCCAGGTTTCTGGTTCCCATTTCAAGTGTCATCTGCAATGATATTGCCGCCTACATTTTTGGATTCTTCTTTGGCAAAACTCCATTAATTAAGGTATGTGCTAAGGCACTTCCTCACTAACAAGCTTTTACAATTCATAGAATTTTTGATACTTGTTCAAAAACATGTTTATGGAGAAAATACTTGCCAGTGTACTGCATGGTACCCGTCTTTGCTAAAAAAACCAAATTGACTCTCCTGTTTCTGAAAATTTGTAAGTGGAAACTAGTATTAATGTGAGTGTAATATTGGCATTACAGTATAATGCATTTGAGCCTATTACATCGTAATATATATTTGGTTCTCTTTGGATTTTGTATGCAGGTTTAACTGCATACTTATTGTAAAGGCGCTGTAATTTGAAATAAGCTGCTACATTATATAAGCCTATTCCTTGTTTGGTCTTGTTGACATAGCACTGAGAAGCGGTAATCTTCCTATTCTGATAAGAATATGCAAGACCCCATAGAAAGCCATGAATATTTTCATGATGTTGCCACACCAACTTTTGGATATTTAGTTGGTTCTCATTTTAAACTGCTCCTAAAATGAAAACATGATAGAATTTGATGAAGAAAATAGCTTGTTACACTGATGTTTATTATGTTATTTGCTGTATTAGTTTGCGAGACTGTATGTAGGAAGCTAGTGTCTCCTGAGAAGTGACCCCAGCATTAACTGTCTATCATCCAGGCTTCTGTCACTATCTGAATGTGACCTTGCTAGCAGAGGTCTCCAACAGAGCCATATCACTCATGCATGTTTCCAAGTCTTTTGCTTGAAGGAGCCCAGCTGCTTAATCAGGGTCAGCTGTGGCCAGAGGCAGGCAGCAACCTCCAGACAGCAGCAGCAGATGGGAAGGGAGCTCTCAGTTCCCTCAAGCCGCCTAGTGACACCGAACTGTGGCACTTTCCCTCCTTGCCTGGGACAGGTCCTAGCTATACTCCTCTATTTATCATGTTCTGTGGCTGCAGTTGCTGACATTCTCTATTTCACCTTTGAAAAACCAAGTAGGAGCTTTAATGTTCACAAACAAGATCCAGAAATAAAGTAAAAAAGGGTTCAGTAATGCAACTGATGAGGCTAACTCTATCTCTTTTGTGCCTAGCTGTCTCCCAAGAAGACCTGGGAAGGGTTCATTGGAGGCTTCTTTTCCACAGTTGTATTTGGATTTATTGTAAGTAACCAAAGGACTTTTCTTATATAGGTTCAGTCTTCAACTTCACATTTTTACTTGAAGCAAAATTACTGACAAATCTGGTCATTTTCAACTGTTGAAAGCCTAAGAGGTTTTTTGTTTTTTTTTTTTCTTGTCTAGATAATTCTGCCAATTCTTAACTATGTAGGCAAGGCATAAACCTCTCCTGAATGGGTTATAGTGAGCATTTTTGCCATTACTATTATTGTATCTGGAACAGTTTTATCTTTTAGTTTTGAAATTGAAGTTTATTGATAACATTATTTATGCTTTGTAAAGTAGTTCTTTTGTATTACGTACTTTATAATCATATTTTTCCTGAGAAGTAGTTTACACTGATGTAAACTACTGTGTATCTACATAGAAGGTTGTAACAGCATACAGTAACTGTTCGGCTGAGTAATTTATCACCAGGGTCAGCAGAACTTGTGACTGCCAAATTTGGTAGAAGCAATAGTCTAAGTTCTAAGTTTTAATGGAGAAGTGAACTGCAAAGAAATGATGAGTGGCTAACATTTGGGGATTTTATAATGCAGAAATGTCCAGTAATTATGAGAAATATGAAAAGGAAAACAAGTTAGGAAATTATCACTAAGCGCATGGAACATTCATATTTGTCTGCCTTGTTGAGGCATTCTGCAACTTAAACAGGCTGATTTTATTGTAATTAAAAAGATTTTCATTATCCTCAGCTTGTGATGACAAAGCCATCCATTAGTGTATGATTCTTAACTGTAACAACAAATGCCTGTTTCAAGAGTCCTTGTTTTGCTTTTCAGTTTTCCTATTTTTTGGCTCAACATCAGTACTTTGTCTGCCCTGTGGAATATAACAGTGAAACCAACAGATTCGTGACAGAGTGTGAACCTTCAGAGCTCTTTCAGATTAAGAAGTACCCTTTGCCACCGTTGTTTCAGGCTGTGTTGGGATGGGTAAGTCAAAAAACAAAAACCCAAGGCTTTGGTTAAAATTGAAAGTGTACTTCGCAGCTTGAACAGTTCTCTAAGCCTTTCTGGAAAAGCATGAGGATGCTGGTAAGACTTGATGGGTAAGAACTGAATCGATAGCATGAGCCTCTGCATTGCTCAGACAAGGGAGATGGTCACCAACGCAGAATTGAAATGCATTGCTGGAGTCATCTGAGCAAACCCTCCTGTGTTCTTGCGGCCTTATCCCATTTGTGCTGGAAAAAGAATGTCACTTAGGCATTTTGCAGACAAACCTGTTTTTGAAGAGCAACTGTTAAGTTTTTGTGGTGTCATTACTTCCACGCTGAATGAAGGAGTACCAGTAATTGTTCCATGTGATATAGTCACCAACTCTTTTCCTCACACCCAGCTTGCAAATTCTTTACCTGTCAGGAAATAGGTCATCAATTATCCTACCCTACAAAGCGGTGCTTCTGAACACACAGGCTCCAGAAGCATTCCAACAGGAACAGAATACCAAATAGAAACAAAGCAGTCTATTGTTACCTGTCCTTCAGGGCAAAGAGGAGGTGACTGGAATAAATGCAGAACAAGTGGGTTTCCAGCACTTCCCTTGCTTGTGCAGTGTCGTAGCACAGGGTGCACAGCATACTAGGGAAGGCAGTGGGCTTCACCTGTGATTACATGGGTGTAACACTGAAGGAGAAAAGTTGATGTGATTACAAGAAGAAAGCAGAAACTGGAAACTGTAGCAACCAAACCTAAGACTAAAAGCAATTAATAGCTACAGTTGGTGCTTAGAAAAGCTAGACAACATCTAGTAGTCTGGTATTTTTCATACCAAATGAATATACTGTTGCTTCAGGAACTGTGGGGCTGATTGAAAATTTAATGAGGATTTTTCTGTACAAAACCACAATGTGGACTGAGAAAAATCTTATGTGTCCAGTAAATGGCAAGGAGATGGGAATGCTGAACTCTGTGCCAGTCTAATAAAGAACTACCAATTAACCTTAAAAAGATATGATAGTTCCATGTGCACTTCTGGAGTACTTTTGCGAGGCTCTAGTGAGCCTTTTGAAGAAAAAATTAGTTTTAGCACTCTTTAAAGAGCCAAATTGAATCTACTTCTTTGGGCAACAGCCTGGTTTTGATTTCTCTCTCAATTACTCAATTCCTGATGTTCTCTCCCAGGCATATGACCAGATGTTATGTTTGGAAGATGTTTTGCTTGATGTCAAAAGATGTCAAGCTTTGTGTTCTCCCAGCAAAATTGACTTAATTCCAACTCAAACTTTTCTGTTTAGCCTAAAGGAAAGGTGTCTTAAGATAACTGCACAAAGTAGTCAAGAAGCTAATTGGTGTTCACCAGCTGTAATTCAAATTGGAAACACAAGGAACAGGATTTTTCAGGTACAGATGGTGTTTGTCAAGATCCGGCCAGCAGAGATGTGTTCTGTTCTCAGGGATGCAGCCAGCACAGTGTTCCCTCAGAGGCTGGAGCTGGTACCATTGACTTGAAGGTGCTTAAACAAAAAGACCTTCTTTCCTAATCTGTGTCAGGAAGGAAGACAGCTACCTGTTCCCAGTGAAGTCTCTCTTATCTGTAAGAACTTGAACGGATCAAAACAAATTTCAAATCTGTGAACAGGGTGAGGGGAACAATATCGGCTTAAATGCAAACCATAAAGTATTAATGGGGGTAAATCATCTCCCATTATTGCCATATGTACACAAAGGTATGTATGTACAGTGCACAGTTCAAAATTCATATCTATCTTGAGAGAACTGCATAAGGGTGGAGAGCATTGGATCACTTACTAGAGCAATACTAGGAATTAGTGGAAAGGTGCTCCTGTCTACCAGAAACAGAGCTGGAAAAGAGCTAGGAAAGATCAGAAAGTAGCATCATATGTTATGGAATTATATTGTAATTATATTCCTTATAATCAACTAAGGGGTTGGTTGAAAACCACATTGTTTGTTAAAGTCAACTGCTCTAGCGACCATGAAAACTTTAGCCTGTTCACATGGCCAGACCTTTCAGCAACTTTCTACAGTGTGTCTACTTTTCCTTTCTTTACAGTATTGCTTTATGTCAGAAAAACTGGAGCTTTGTGGAAATTTGTTCTGTAATAAGCCCATTTAAAAATATTTAAGCTTAAAATGCTTATGGTCAAACATACTGAAATACAGTGCTATTTACTTTACTTGTAGGAAACAGTGAATATGTACCCATTTCAGTTGCACAGCATTGCACTATCAACATTTGCCTCATTAATTGGGCCATTTGGAGGATTCTTTGCCAGTGGATTTAAAAGAGCTTTCAAAATCAAGGTGCGTAATGACTCCTGTAAGCCAGTCCTATTCTGGGGTTTTTTTATTTGAATTAGATACATTGGTAGGTTGGGTTTGGATTCTTTTAATCATTTATTGTAGTACCTAGTGTTTCTACTAGGGTGTGATGATGTTGAACTGGTTTTTAGCATCAACAACAGTACTTAGTTTTATTAGATATGTGTTATGTTGATTATGCAAAGATTTAGGAATGTGACTTTAGTGTTGGAAATCTAACAATAATTTAGTTTCACATTTTGGTTGATAATGACCCTTCCGAGTTATGTTGCAGAATAGGTTTAGACAAGCAAGATGTGAGACCTTACACTTGACATGAAAGGCAATCTCTAGCTGCCCAAGAGGCACCAACAAATATTTTACCCTTCAGATTGGGGCAGGCTGTGTTTTAACAATAGCGTTTGTGTTGTACGCAGACGTTGATGTGTCAGGTTCACCAAAGCATGAGCTGTTTGGCTGCCTTTGCTAATACAGTGCTGCCTTGTGACAAGAGTGTGTATTGGCAAATGATGCGATGTGCTAACCTCTGTTTATTGCAAGGTGTGCGCTGTCACTTGTGGCAGTGTTGTCCCTGGCTGATATTAAGTGGCAGCAGGAGTATGGGAAGAGGGCAGCCCCAAATTTTCTCCCAACCTTCTTTATGTCTTGGTAGGACTGCTGTAATTCTTATCTGGTTGCTTATTGTTGTTTTGTTGTTGTTCCCTGCATCAACCAGTTTTGGCATGTTCTTTGCACAGAAGCATATCGACCTCTCCATTTGTGCTGAACTCCCATACATGTGCTTGTACTTACCGCTCTTTCTTATGCCTGTCTGAGCAGCTTTTCTGGCACTGTCTGGCTAGCTACAGCCTCTTGTGCTGTCATACCTATACATCCAGGTAGCAAAAGACTGTGTCAAGAAGGGCATCTGAGGGGAAAAAACATGCTTCTGGAAAGCAACTCTTATTCTTAAAGTAGAGTATAAAAAAGTGGATATTAACTATTTTTTATATATACAAAAATATAAATACATATATTA